AAAAAAAAAGAATTAGTTTATCTATTTTATTTTTGATCTTTCCGAACTACGCAAGATCTGATTCATGTTCCCACATGATACTTAGGCAACCCACATCAGGTTCGATCGAATGGTTTTGAAAAACAACAGAAGAAAGAGAGGAAGAATGTGTGCATTCTAACATGCTTGTTATTTTGAAATAAAAGCTAGTTAAATGTGGTTGGTTTGTTGGTTTGCAATGGTGAATCACGAAAATAATCCAGGATCACTCTATCATCTTCTCAACTGAAGGAACAAGAACCACTATTATTGATCCAACTAAGGTCACGAAAAGGCAAGTAGACAAGTTGGTGATAAAAATGGAGGCAAATGTTGGCTGACTTCTACCAGTTTTGAGCAACAAGACATGTTCTGCTTGGCTGATCTGTGATGATAGGGAGACATGCGAATTCGTCGAAGTCCTTTGGAAAATTAGTTATTGTGAAAGTTCACATGTTGTAAGTCCTAAAATCTGATAGCCAATATGGGGAGCGGTTTAATCAAAAGTCAAAATTTGAGTGCTGAATCCATAGCAATAAAAATGGTTGAATGTCGTAGTAATGCTGATGTGCAAGTCCGTGGTTAAGATGTCACTTAGTAACTGCAAAGTCACTCATCTTTTATCCATTAAGGAGACATGGTAGCTTATTTTGTCGTCATTTCTTCTTCTTTTTATGTTATCAGATCCCGCTATCCTTTATTCAATAAAAAAACAGTCAGTCAATTTGTGTCCATTTTGTGCATAGTTCTTTTCATGCTAGTCCTAGTGACATGACATGCAAGCGAAATATTTGGTCAGATCCTAGATAACTGATTTAGTCTTGAACTAGTTAACTGAGAACAAGACACTTTTAAGGATGAATACACAGTCGAAACACTTTGGAATTAAGCTAGGTTCAAATTCATGTGGAACTAGAATAGTCATACCCGTGGGGTTAATGATCTTTACCTTCAAATCATTGTGAAGATTGGGTTTGAGAAAGAATTAAATAAAGTTTGGTGGAAAATTTGACATTAATTGATGGAAAGTGTCTTTTGACCAAGACACACCAAAAAGACAGACATGTTCATCAATGTTGTGATCACAAAAGGATACTATGTTTGGCGTTCTCGAGGCTGGGAGGCCCTTTTTCTGCTATTCAAACACTTTATACCCTTCGTTATCCCTTTTGAGCTTGTGTTATTTTCTTTGACCACCCTCTTTTGGAATCAAGTTTAGAGTCAAAAGTCAAAATAAAAATGAAATAAAAAAAATAAAAAGAAAAGTTCATGCCCCAAGAGTACAAACTGGGGAAACTCTTAAAAAGTTCAAGTGAAAAAAAAGAATAAGAAAAGAACAGTCAAAGATCCATGCCCCAAGGAAATAAAAGTTGGGGGAACTTATTTTGAAAAAAAAAGGAAAAAAAAAAGAAAAGAAAAAAAAGAGAAAAAGAAAAAAGGAAAAAGAAAGATAAAAAAAATAGTTAGGTCAGATGTTTGAACTACGTTTGACCTGACTCCTTAGAAAAAGGGATACGTAGGCAGCCTTACACGGTTCGGTCCAACTAAATAAGAACTCCAAAAATTAAAAATAAACAAAAAATCCAGTATCTAAAACTGGCGCATGAGTTTGTTTTAGTTTTTTTTTTAAAATAATCGATTCCAAGAGTTGTAAATGTAAAACCCATCATATTGAGTCTACTTTAAGCCTTCTTGTAGTCCTTTCTTTCTAACTATATCCAAAAGCCTTCCAAACAAGACCTCATGATCTGTTTTGAGAATGCCAATGGAAATCCGCAATGAGCAATGGATGTCATATGGAGGACATGGTCATCATTCTCACTCAAGGAATCAAGAAAAGAAAAAAAAAAGAAAAAAAAAATGAGAGAGTCTTACTAGTGAAAACCCTCACAGGCACTGTAAAATGACGGTAAGTAGAGATAAATAAATGAGAGAGTCTTACTAGTAAAAACCCTCACAGGCACTGTAAGACGACTGTAAATAGAGATAAATAAATGAGAGAGACTTGTCGATGAAAATATCTCGGGGCACCACTAGTCGAAAGTAAGTCGTGAAACTGATGCAAAGAATTAATACAAACAAGCACGACTTCAAGGCCCGAAGGAATAACGGAAGGAATGATTAGATCAGTTTGATAGATTAGGCCGTTGAGTCCAAAATGCATGTCATGATCATTAAGGCTACTTACCTCATTCAAAAAAAAAACAAAGCCTCTTCCATATATATATAAATTCTTCCTTCTTTCCTTCCTCATGAAGGAATCTCTTGTAAATATTGTTTCTTCGCATCATTATATCCTTTGCTTTGAGTCAGTCCTTGTCAAAACAAGTAAGAAAGGATTTCAAAATCTCCTACCAGCTTTTCAGTTTCACAAAGAAAATTCTGGCTTGAACATTCAAGATAACATTATCAGAGAAGTAACATGCACACATAGTTGTTACAGTTGACAAGTCTTGAGGATTCGTGCTATACAAAGGTTCCCCAAAAGATATTTATGTCTGCCTATTTGTCAAAAACAAGCAAAGAAAAGATTGCAAGATTGATTACGGGTTCCCTGTAGTACTGAACACAGACTATGAAATGTGCACATCACGCAAAAGAGCATACCCAGTTGCGATTCTCTCTTACAAACAAATTGCTCTAAAAGCAAGAAGTTATTCAAGATATCAGAAAAGGTCACCTAAGCAAAGATCTCTAGTTGGGATAAGGCTGATTGAGCCACAAACACAATCAGGGTTGGTACAGAGAGCAAAAGTTTCTTGAAAGCAACAACAGAGTCTACCAGCAGTGTAGCCAACTACCAATACAGTTGGTCTTCCTGAAACAAATGGGAACAAAGCCAAGCTGCCAAAGACATCAAGGCCACAAACTGACCACCACTTCTAAAACTCACAATTTTCCTTTGTTTGAAGCAGGAACAAAGCAGTGCAAAATGGCGATTCTTAAAGGACGAAAGTCATGAAAGGTAAGTTTCCGCAAAATCTTAATTTTCTTTTATTTTCAGAATGCATCACTATTGTTCATACAAATCATTTTTGTAGCTTAACCCAGGTAGAACCATTTCGCCTAGAGGGATCCAGCTCATAGTTTCGGGTAGAAGTACTTTTCGCTCAGGGTGTTTTACATAGCTTAACTCAGGTAGAACCGTTTTGCCTAGGGGGATCCAGCTCATAGTTCCGGGTAGAAGTACTCTTCGCTCAGGTTGTTTTTTGTAGCTTAACTCAAGTAGAATCATTTCGTCTAGGGGGATCCAACTCATAGTTCCGGGTAGAAATGCTCTTCGCTCAGGTTGTTTTACGTAGCTTAACTCAGGTAGAACCATTTCGCCTAGGGGGATCTAGCTCATAGTTCCGGATAGAAGTAATCTTCACTCAGGTTGTTTTACGTAGCTTAACCCAGGTAGAACCTTTTCGTCTGGGGGATCCAGCTCATAGTTTCGGGTAGAAGTACTCTTCGCTCAGGTTGTTTTACGTAGCTTAACTCAGGTAGAACCATTTCGCCTAGGGGGATCCAGCTCATAGTTCCGGGTAGAAGTACTCTTCACTCAGGTTGTTTTACATAGCTTAACCCAGGTAGAACCTTTTCGCCTGGGGGATCCAGCTCATAGTTCCGGGTAGAAGTACTCTTCGCTCAGGTTATTTTTCGTAGCTTAACTCAGGTAGAACCATTTCGCCTAGGGGGTCCAGTTCATAGTTCCGGGTAGAAGTACTCTTCACTCAGGTTGTTTTACGTAGCTTAGCCCAGGTAGAACCTTTTCGCCTAAGGGGATATAGCTCATACTTCTGGGTAGAAGTAATCTTCGCTCAGGATGTTTTACGTAGCTTAACCCATGTAGAACCTTTTCGCCTAGGGGATCCAGCTTATATTTCCAAGTAGAAGCACTCTTCGCTCAGGCTGTTTTACATAGTTTAACCCAGGTAGAACCTTTTCTCTTAGGGGGATCCAGCTCATAGTTCCGGGTAGAAGTACTTTTCGCCCAAGTTGCTTTTCGTAATATTTTTTACTATGCGTGAATATTTTTCCATTCACACTCTCACTTTCCCCATGCACTTCCCTCACATAATCCCTCAACCAACACATACGGATACTCACAAAAAAAAGAAGGAGATTCATCACTACCCCAAACACATACAACAAAAAGTCAAAAAGGGGAGGAGAAAAATTAAAAAGGGAGGAGGAAAGTCAAAAAGAGGAGGGAGGAGGAAAGTCAAAAAGGGGAGGAAAATAAAAAAGTGGAAGAGGAAAGTCAAAACATAGGGGAGAGAAAACAGGGGGGCGTTCTCTTCGCAAAAGGAGGGAGGAGGAATCGGATAAAAATTAGCACCTAAGAGCTAAAGGGGCAAGAAAAACACAAAAGGAGGAGCCGAGCTTTCTCTTTTTCCTAACCACACACGCATCTTCTTCCCTTCTCATTTTTCACCATTAATGTCAAAGCCCACAATTAAGCTCGTCATCTTCACACAAAATTAGTAGCTTTCTTCTACTCCCCTTATTCACCAGCTACTGGTTTCAACCACAAAAAACAGTCAAACAACCTCTCAAACCGAGTAAAAAACCAGCAGGAAAAACCCAATTTTTGGTATTTCAAATTTGAGCGAAAAATAGTACAAAAAAAAGGGGTCTCCGGTGGGATCACGTTTGAGTTCCGACGGCTTGTCTTTGTTTGAGTCCATACGGCATCGATATTAGCTGTTGTAACTTCATTGGAGGAGTTTGCTAATAAAGGAATATTTGTTGTTGTTAAAGGTTCAATCTCTTATCTCAAGTCTTTGTTTCACGTATCTGTTGGTGTTTCGCTTAGATGTGGGTTTGCATTTATTATGGCAAAATTCTTGCCTTAAATACCCTGCTGCATATTTGCTCAAATTAACTATGTATTGCTTGGATGGTGATTCCGTTGGTTTATGCTTTAATCTATTAGTTTAGGTTTGAAGCACTTACATAAGAATTCGCTGTTTGAGCTCAAATCTGTTTGTTTTTTTAACCTTTCCAATAATGACATGAATTTTTTATTGTTTAATGAATTTAAGTGACCAAGGATCTAGTCAGTGATGGTATGGAATAACTAAAGGGTTATTCCGCTCTCAATAACAAAAGCGGAAAGGAAGCAAAGATCTAGTCAGTTGCAATTCTTCTCACGTTAATATAATAAAAAAAATATTTTAAAATATTGAATTTTGAGAAGCGAAAAACAACATAATTTGGGACGGATGGAGTATATCATACAATAATTTTCTTCATACATGGGTGATGTTTGGCCATAATTCATTATTTACCGTACATTTTGGTGTTTTACTATTAAATTGGGCGACACTTGAGCTTAATTGAGTTGTTTTTATGTGTAGTGTGGGGTCCATTCCATGAATGTGAAAGGAAGACAAACCTCCTTTGACATAAAGTACCATGCTGCCAAATCTACAGGAAATGTGATTTGGGTTGGCAGATTTTTTATTGCTTTCACAAGGTGAAAGTTTGACATTTATATTATGATAATGTCATCCATGATGCAAGCAAGGAGAATTAGACGTCTATAAATAGATAGCTCCTGATTCAGTTGAAGATACACAAAACAAAGAGAGAAAGAAAGAGTGAGGTTTCACAGACAAGGTATTAGTCTGTGAGAAAAATAGAGAGTGAGCGATATTGTAGTAAGGTGGGAATATCAAAATAGAGTTATTTCTTTTTGAGTGTTGTAGTGGTCTTTGGAGTATTTTACTCGGACCTACAAAGTATAAAATTCCTTGCTATAGTGATATCAGTTGCTCGTCTCGGGGCCGTAGTTGTTTCCTTATTCAAAAGGGTTTTCCACGTAAATATCTTGGTGTCGTTATCACTCTTTTATTCTTGCTAATTATCGTATCTCGGTGCTATGTTATTAGTTTGCTTTTATTACCGTGAATATTATCCTTGTAGGGAGTTTATTCCCAACAACTGGTATCAGAGCACAAGTTCTACGCGTTCAATGAAATACTATTCACTTTCAGTAGTACTATACTCGGTGAAAAACAAAAATGTCCGAGTAAAGTATGAGGTAGCAAAATTTAACGGAGATAGCGGTTTCTCAACATGGCAAAGAAGGATGAGATATCTGCTCATCCAACAAAGATTACACAAGGTACTAGATACTGATGCCAAAATGCCTGATACCATGAAAGCTGAGGATTGGGCTGACTTGGATCAAAGGGCTGCTAGTGTAATCAGGTTGCACTTATGAGATGATGTGGTAAATAACATCATTGATGAAGACACCGCACGTGGCATTTAGACAAGGTTGGAAAGCTTATACATGTCCAAAACGCTAACAAATAAATTGTACATGAAGAATCAGCTATACGCCCTACAGAGGGGTGAAGGTACGAACTTTTTGTCACATTTAAATGTGTTTAACGGACTAATCACACAGCTTACCAATCTCAGAGTGAAAATCAAGGAAGAAGATAAAGTCATCTTGCTATTGAACTTGTTGTCATCTTTGTACGATAATCTGGCAACAACCATCCTGTACGGTAAGACTCTCATTGAGTTGAAAGATGTCACATCGGTTCTTCTACTCAATGAGAAGATGATAAAAAAGCCTGAAAATCAAGGACATGCTCTCATCACAGAAGGTAGAGGCAGGAGTTATCAAAGGAGTTTGAACAACTATGGTAGATCCGGAGCTCGTAGGAAGTCTAAGAACTGATCCAAATCAAGAGCGAGAAATTGCTACAATTGTGATCAACCAGGTCACTTAAAAAACGATTACCCAAATCCAAGGAAGGGAAAAGGTGAAACTAGTGGCCAGAAGAATGGCGACAACACAACCACCATGGTGCAAAACAATGATAATGTTGTCCTCTTTATAAACGAGGAAGAGGAATGCATACACTTATCAGGTCCAGAGTCGGAATAGGTGGTTAATACAACAATATCTTACCATGCCACACCGATAAGAGATCTTTTTTGCAGATATGTAGCAGGTGATTTCGGCCTTGTGAGAATGGGTAACACAAGTTTCTAAAAGATTACGGGGATTGGTGACATTTGTATCAAGACAAATGTCGGATGCACATTGGTTCTGAAGGACGTGCAACATGTACCTGATTTGCAGATGAACTTGATCTCGAGAATTGCTTTAGACCGAGATGGATACAATAACTATTTTGCAAATCAAAAGTGGAGACTCACCAAGGGATCATTGGTTAATACAACAATATCTTACCATGCCACACCGATAAGAGATCTTTTTTGCAGATATGTAGCAGGTGATTTCGGCCTTGTGAGAATGGGTAAC